ACCACGGTGTTTCCCCTGGAGCGTAAGGCCGACGTGCCTGACGTTCTTATCCTGTGGGCCATAGCTGCGCGAGTCCACCGCAGCCTCCCTGTGCTGCATCTTTGCTCCGACCGTGATGGCGAGTTTGCCTCCGATCGTCTTGGCCCGTTATGTCATGCGGAGGGCATCACCCATCCGTACACCCTGCCAGACTCCCCGCAGCAGAATGGGGTCGCTGAGCGACACATCGGTTTGGTCATGGATGTTGCTCGTACCTCCATGATCCATGCCGATGCACCCCATTTTCTGTAGCCGTTCATTGTTCTCTACGCCGCTCACCAGCTTAACCTGTGGCCGCACTCCCAACGGCCGCAGGTTTCGCCGACCCTTCTCTAGACTGAGTTCCTTGGTGACGCGTCTGCGTTCGACGTCTGGGGCTGCCTTGCTCACACTCGTGCCTCCGGCACGAACAAGCTCACTGCCCGCACCGTCCCTTGTGTCTTCCTTGGTTTCCCTTTCGACGCGTTTGACTAGCACTTCTACCACCCGTCGTCTCACCGTTTCTTTCACTCTCGTAACGTACCTTTTGACAAATCTATCTCCTAGACCAACTTTCTCCACCGAGGTCTCCCGGTTAACCCACCCTTTTTCCTGGTCCTCACTCCCCTGGTAGCCCTTGCTCCTCTTGCTCCCCCTTCTTCCCCGTCTAGTGTGTCTCACATCACTCCCCTCCCATCGAGGAGTCGGATGACTCCGGGGGCCCCACGGTTTCAACTTTGCCGCCTGTCTCCGCCCCCGTGTCTCCTCCTCCTTCGCTGCCGCCGCCGCCGCAGCAGCCGCTGTCGTCGCCTCAGTCAGAGCAGCAGTCACCACTGTCGCAGCCGAAGCAGCAGCCAATGTCGCCGCAGCAGCCGACGCAAGGGTCCGCGAGCTCGGAGGGTGCGGGCATTGAGGGTGCTAATCCTGGAGGTACGGTCGTGGCTTGTCCCGGCTGTCCTTGGGGTGGCACCGGTGCTGGAGAGGCCTCTGGTTCTGGCGGTGCTAGTCCTGGGGGTACTGTCGTGGCTTGCCCCAGCGGTCCTGGGGGTGGCACTGGTGCTTGAGAGGGTTCTCTTAATGAGGGTGCTGTCGTGGAGCGTCCTGGAGGAAGCCGTGGTGCAGCTGGAGGTTCTGGTATCGGTGTGGAGCAGCAGCAGAAGTCACCGCTGGTGTCCGCCCTTCGCCTTCTCGGTCTTCCCTCCCCTAACCGCCCACCTCCGCCTCTCTCGCCTGTCTACGGCTCTGTGTTTCCTCCGCCCGACTCATCTCCGGCTTGTTTTCCCCCGTGTTCTCCTCCCGTGTCTCCTCCTATGTATCCTAACCCCATGCCTTCATCCCACTTCTGGTCTCGCCGTCCCTCCCTTGCTCGTCCTATCTCTCCTGTCCAACGCTCTCACCCTATGTTGCTTGATTCCCACGCGTCTCGTCCTCCCCTCCTTCCGTCGCCTCCTCCGTCCTCGTTGGTTGTCGCTCCGCCTCCCCTATCTGAATTCCTCCGTGCCGCTAGTCCTCTTGTTCCTCGAGTCCTCGCCTCTCTTCTTACCGACCCATCTGTTCCTGTCTCCAGTCTTGACGCTCTCGTCGCTGCCATCACTGACTTTGCCTCTACCTGCCGCCTTGACTACGCCACTGCTCTGGTCTCTGGCCCTGCCCGTACTCTGTTCGTCGGGGGTGCTCCTTCCCTTGGCATTGATGTCCTTGAAGACGGACAGTACGAGCTTGCTTTCCTGTCCAAGGCTGCGCCTCATCTCTGCTCCATGCTGCTAGTCCCTGAGGGTGACCGAGACACCTTGGACATCCTGACCCCTCGCACCTACGCTGAGGTGACCTCGGGACTCTGGGCGTCCCAGTGGATAGCTCCCATGGACGCGTAGATGACATCTTGGAGATCCACCGGCACCTACGTCGACGCAGTCCCCCACCTGGGGTGAACGTAGTCGATGGCCGCTGGCTCTTCAAGGTGAAGCGCCCTCCTGGAGAGTCGCCGGTGTTCAAGCCGTGCTACGTTGCTAGAGGCTTCAGTCAGCTCTTCGGTGTTTACTTCTTTCAGACCTTCGCCCCGACCCTGAAGATGACTACTCTTCAGAAGCTGCTACACGTATCAGCACACCGTGACTACGAGTTGCACTCTCTAGACTTCTCGACAGTTTTTCTCTTACGGCAGTCTGCACAAGCAGGTCTACCTGCGTCGCCCGCCAGGCTTCACCGGCACCTTCATCCCAAGGATCCAGTGGCTCCTCCAACGCCCGGTTTAGAGCCTGCGGCAGGTGCCGCACGAGTGGCACGACACTCTTCATGCTATGTTAGCTGACTTGCAGTTCTTCCCGTCTTCTGCATACCCTTCTCTCTTCGTTCGTTCAGGCCAAACTCCGATCTACATCCTTGTCTACGTAGACAACCTGGTCTTCGCTAATGCAGACAGAGATGCACTGGCCTCCGTGAAGGCTGAGCTGCTGAGGAGAAACACCTGCACTGACCTAGGAGAGCTGCGCCGCTACCTGGGCCTGCGGATCTCCAGGGACAGAGCAGCACGCACCATCAGTTTTACACAGTCACACTTCGTGCGCTAGGTCCTTCAGAGGTTCGGTCTTCAGTTCTTCTCCACACAGCCCACACCTGTGCTAGTAGATTATATGCTCTCAGCTCCAATCCTTGAGGATTCAGTAGAGCCTAGTGGTCCGTACGCTGAGCTGGTGGGTTTCCTCATGTACCTGATAACTTGCACTCGTCCACATCTCGCATACCCTCTCAGCATCCTGGCTTGCTTTGTGGCCACAGGCAGACACCGACCACAGCAGTGGTCGACCGTTAAGAGGGTTTTACGTTATCTAGCAAGTACATCGGGCATAGGGCTAGTGCTAGGAGGACACAGGCCAGTGGTCCTTACAGGGCACACAGACGCTTCGTGGGCAGACGACGCTGAGACGCTCAGCTCCTCCCAGGGCTACTGCTTTAACCTTGGTTCAGGTGCCATCTCGTGGAGGAGCACTCGCTCATCGTCTATTGCTCAGTGTAGATGTAAGGCTGAGATCTATGCTGGTGCCATGGCGGCACAGGAGCTCCGTTGGCTAACTTTCTTGCTCACACACATAGGTGAGTGGCCTAGCTTTGCCCCAGTCCTGTACGCGAACAACATGGCCATGATCCTCCTGTGTCAGGAGCCTCGACTGGAGGGCAGAGCGAAGCACATCCAGCTGCGGTACTTCCTCCTGCGCGAGCTACAGCAGCGCCACCAGGCCCGCGTAGTACACTTGGCCTCTGGTGCCAACACAGCTGATATCTTGACGAAGGCGCTTGCGCTTTAAGATCTTTAGCGGCACTGTGTACAGCTTGGTCTAGTACTTGTAGCTTCTCACTTGCTAGGACCTTGATTGTGTACTATATCTTATATTACCTTAACTTGCCTTGTGGCTCCTGTTCCTGTGGCTTGACTAGTAGTGCCGCCCTGGGTTACTCTTGTTTAGTTTGTACTCTTGCTGACAAGTCTTCGGACCCTTGCCTTAGAGGTTGGACTAGTAGTGCCACCCTGAGTTGCGTGTCTCTTGTACGGCACTGCCCCTTATGTAGCCTTGGGGGTGAGTCAAATATATATGTATATGTTATTATAGGCTAGATAAGTGCGTACTCTTAGAGAGTACAACCACTTAGACAAAACCATCTTGTATCTCACACTCTAGCCAATGATTCTACTCTGAGACAACGCACATGGCAAACACACCTGCAGAGAGCGCAACTTATCAAAGAGCTTGTTCCTGAAGAAGCCGGCCAACTGCCTCAGCCACTGCCTGAAGTGGGCCATGCGCATGTCGTCATCATTGAAGTAGGCCTCCACATTGATGAGCTTCATGCCATCAAGGTTGTAGAGGTCGTTGAAGCGGCCGTTGATGCCGATAACTAGGTCACTAGCGTACTTTCGGGCAATGACGTTGCACGACGCCAAGCCACTGCCGGTCTCGTCGCCGGCCAGATGGTATTCATGGAGGGTGTAGACGAAGGACTGGGGGTTTCCATCGCTGTCCATACCCAACGCACAGTGCTGCCTCTTCTCTGGAGAGCCATGGCGGTCGAGAAACGCCCTGAGAAGCTCATTGTCGCCGTTGCCGAACTGAAGATCATCACCGCAGTTGATGCTGTGGCTTGAGAGGGAAGATCCCCAGTATGTTAAGGCCGTTACGAGGACAGGAATGGGGGGGGTCATCGTCATTGTCGACTGCCATCTACAGGTTCTGCTCAACAACGCTTGTGAGAGAGAGTCCACGTAGGAGAGGGTGATGAAGTGGGGTCTGGTTTGGGGGGGATTAAGAAGTCGATGGAAGGGATGGAGGGCCAGTTGACGTCAACCAGAAGAGCTTCGATGTGCAGTTACGCGGGCCGCATTCACTCGTGAGCTGTCGAAGTCCCGTCTTTGCTGGAACAGAAATGCCGTCATAGAGGGCACGATTCCTGCGTCACATGCAATGAACTGTCGTCGGCTGGGACCAAGGCAGTAATGCTGCCAAGGCGACCAATAGCGGGCCTAACACGAACTGACACGAGGACAGCTGGAGGGGAATATTCGACAGCGCAGGTGGGGCAAGGTGACAAAGTGCCGCAGCTAACATTAACGTGGGTGGCCTTTGCTGATGGTGCGGGTGAAAAGAAACGCCACGCGTAAAGCACTTCACTGTTTCTCATTAAGGGTAATTTCCGGGCCACCCTGACGTATCATGGTTGGCCGGGCCCACACCCGCTTGCCAGGGGGAGGTTTCTGATTGGCCAAACGACATCCCTGCGACACAACTTGAACCTTTAATATTGTTCATATTAATCAATGAAATCAGCTTTATGGTGTGGGTGAAAACCCCGCTGCAAAGGTTCACGCACTATTGTTACAAATTCCTTATCGGAGCTCCTATTGCGGAGTATATCTTTGCGCGAGGAAATTCACCTCGGATTTCGTTGCTTGGGAACCAGACCCACCACCTCCAAAAGCCGCAGCCTCACACGCTCCACTGGAGTTGCGGGGAGACGCGTAGGCGGTTCAAGCCAAGTCAGTGCTGAATGCGGACGAGAAGAAACTGCCGCGGGCGCTGATTTGCGGTTCGTCGCGTAGGCGGCGAAGCGTCCCACTGTAGAGGCGAAAATCAAAGTACTACGTCCTACTGTAGAGACGACCCGCGCAGCCTTTACTAGTTTTGAGGCGCCTCAAACGAAGCCGAAGCGTCGACTTCGACGTTGACTACTCTCGGCTCGGGTCCGCGTCTGCGCAAAAGGGTTAGAGGGGGCTTAGACGGCGTTTTCCGACAGCTGCGTCTGAGTCGATACGCGAGATTTTTTAGAATTTTTTTGGCGCCTCAAGATTTTTAGAATTCTCAGAAATATCTCACGAAGCCGAAGCGTCTACTTCAACGTTGACTGCTCTCGGCTCGGATCCGCGTCTGCTCAAGAGGCGACAGACGCGGAAAGACGGCGTTTTCTCGACAGACAGCTGGTAGAACCTTTGAGTCGATACACGAGCAGAGTTTTCTCGAAGCTTCCATGCCGAAGAACGGGAACAAGCGGAAGAAGAGAAATGCCGCGACGGGTCAAGATGCATCGAAGGTCAGCGTGCAGCACGCGCTTTCAGGGACGAAATCAGGACCGTCCGTATCACAACCCCCCGCCAAGCGGGCGAAGGGAGAGGGCGCAGGGTTTACCAGGGGTGAGGGTTTCGGGTTGAAAGAGAAGAAGGGTTTACCTGGGGAAGTAACACTTAGAACGGGTCAAACTGGGAAAGGTAGATCGGGAAAAGGTAAATCCGGTCAGGGAGACCAGATTGGCCAGGGTCCACCACAAGAGGCGGTTAAGGGCTCGATTGCAGCCGTGGAAGCTGCAGAAACCGCCAGAAAGAAGGGGAGGCATCGGAAAGGGAAAGCAGGCGTGGAGGGGAAGGGCGCTGGTGCTGGTGCTGGTGCTGGTGCTGGTGCTGGTGCTGGTGCTGGGGTTGGCGCTGGTGCTGGTGTTGGCGCTGGTGCTGCTAAGAGTAAGGCGTCTCAAGCCATGCTTGGTGGCGGCAGGGGCGGCAGCTGCAGCAACGCGAATGCAAGCAGTTTAGGCGGAGGCAGCAGCAGCAGTAGCAGCAAGAAGCGCTCAAAGGCGCACCCAGACGCGCCTCAAAGCATGGCCGCAAGCATTAGAGGGGGAGGCAGCAATAAGAAGCTCAGCCTACTTGACAAGGTACCAACAATGGGGGAGTGTGCCTTGGGGTATCGGCTTTAAGTTTTCTAAGGTAATGAGCGGCATGGCTGCTAGCAGTGGTGGAGGAGAAGGCAGCAATAGGAAGCTCGGCCTGCTTGACAAGGTACCAACTATGGGGGCCGTGCCGTGGTTTGGGGTATAGATTGCGGTCTCATGAAGGAAGGCGCTGAAGCAAAGGTGACTTTTGAGGCCCCTCAAAAGCAGTCTCAGCATAGACGAACCCTATAGATTGCGGTCTCATGAAGAATGCCGCTGAAGCAGCAAGATCCATGATGGTAGAAGCGGCATAGTGGAGGAGGAAGAAGCAAGAAGCTCAGCCTGCTGGACAACGTGTCAGCAACAGGGTCTCGGGTTAAGGTTTAGGTTCCTGCTCAAGTTCAGCGTTGCTGGTGTAGGGCGATAATAAGCTGAATAAATGATGCTCATTGCGCTAGACTGACCCGCCGCAACACTCACTACCCATTGTTAATAGCAAATTACTGTTGGGTTTTTTTTTTTTTTTTTTTTTTTTTTTTTTTTTTTTTTCCCTCTTATCTGGCAGATGCGTGCTCGGTTAGCTGGGGGTCGTTTTCGATCGCTCAACGAGTCCCTGTACACTTCAGACGGGGACAAGGCCTTTGCGATGTTCTCAGAGGATCCGAATGCATTTGCACAGGTGAGAGAGGCAGAGATTGAGAGGGGTTTTAAGCGGTGGAGAGGGGTTTGAGTGAGCTTACAAGTCAACGAGTCCCTGTACACTTCAGACGGGGACAAGGCCTTTGCGATGTTCTCAGAGGATCCGAATGCATTTGCACAGGTGAGAGAGGCAGAGATTGAGAGGAGTTTGAAGCAGTGGAGAGGGGTTTGAGTGAGCTCACAAGTCAACGAGTCACTGTATACCTTGGATGGGGAAAAGGTGTTTCAGATGTTCTCAGAGGACCCGAGTGCATTTGCACAGGTGAGAGAGGCAGAGATAGAGAGGGGTTTGAAGCGGTGGAGAGGGGTTTGAGTGAGCTCACAAGTCAACGAGTCACTGTATACCTTGGATGGGGACAAGGTGTTTCAGATGTTCTCAGAGGATCCGAATGCATTTGCTCAGGTGAGAGGGCGAGATTGGGGGGTTTGAAGGGGTGGAGAGGGGTTTGATTGCGCGTGCAAGTCAACGAGTCGCTCTATATGCCAGACGGGGACAAGGCGTTTCAGATGTTCTCAGAAAATCCCAACGCATTGGCACATGTGAGGGGAGAGATGGAGAAACAGAGGAGAGATGAAGAGACAGGTGGCGGGTACCTATTGGCTGAGGTGAAGGAGGCCAGTTTTGAGGCGCCTCAAGAGACAGGTGGCGGGTACCCATTGGCTTGAGGTGAAGGAGGCCAGCCAGTCATCAGGTTACTGTATACGATGGGAAAACGTTGGATTCGATCCGCAGCAAGCCTCCTAAGAGTAGATCTAGGACTAGAACTAAGATCTAACGGCGAGAAAGGTAAGAAAAATATTTCTTAAGTCAGAACGCCAGACACAATAGGCCCGGATGTCGCGTGCGAACGCGTTCTCCCACGTTTTCCCACCTATTGGCTTGAGGTGAAGGAGGCCAGCCAGTCATCAGGTTACTGTATACGTCAGATGGGGACAAGGTCGTCAGATGGGGACAAGGTCGTCAGATGGGGACAAGGTCGTTTCGGATGTTTTCAGAGGATTCCAACCAGCGCATTCGCACCGGTGGGAGGCAGGAATTTGAGAGGGATTAAAGCGGTGGAGAGGGGTTTTGAACGATCCATCAAGTCGACGAGACGCTCTACGCGTCGAATGGGGACAACGCGTTTCGGATGTTCCACAAGCGAATGGGACCTCACGAGAATACAGTTTTTGAGGCGCCTCAAGAATACGCTCCCACAGGCAGAGCAAATGGTTTTTGAGGCGCCTCAAAAATAGCCTAGAATACGGTTTTTGAGGCGCCTCAAGAATACGCTCCCACAGGCAGAGCAAATGGTTTTTGAGGCGCCTCAAAAATAGCCTAGAATACGGTTTTTGAGGCGCCTCAAGAATACGCTCGCACAGGCAGAGCAAATGGGACCTGTGATTCAGCTAATTGCTGTGTGGGTGACTCACTCACGTTCACCTGTGTGGGTGACTCACTCACGTCCCATCCCATCCCATCCCATGCCATCCCTCTGAACCCCCCATGCACACATGAACAGTACCACAAGGGCTGTTGAGAGCAAGTGTCATCCTGGCCAGACTAGTGATTCATGTAGCGCCAATGTTTCCCTGCCCCAGCAGGTGGCAATGCTACCCTGTTCCTTTCCAACGTTGTTGGCGCATCCTATTCATTTCCCTCCCTCCCGCCCTTCAATGCCCATATGAACAGTACCACGAGGGCTATCGGGAGCAGGTATCATCCTGGCCAATCAACCCCCTGCACGTCATCATTGACTGGATCCGCCAGCGGCCAGCAACCCTCACAGTGGCTGACTTCGGCTGTGGTGAGCCCGTTGACTCTGGTTGACTTGTGGTGACTTTTGATTTTGGTGGCTTGAAATGGGTCTCTTGGCTTTAAGAGGTTTACTTACAGTAGTGCGTTTGCCAGCGGCCAGCGTATCTCACAGTGGTTGACTTTGGCTGTGGTGTGTAAGCCCGTTGACTTGACACCAGTCGACTTCTGTTGACCTTTATTTTGGTTTGGTGGGTTCGTTGCGAGTCGTCTACACGGCATCCGTGGTTTCGCCAGCGACCAGCACATCTCACTGTGGCTGGCTTTGGTGGCGATGAGCCCATTGACCTACGCTGATCCTAGTTGACATATGTTGACCTGCGCTGTTGATCTGCGTTGACCTATGTTGAGTATCGAAGTAGGACAGCTTTCTTCTTCCTTCATGTCTTTTCTCTCCTGTTCCAATATTCAGGAATATGCGAGCTTCCCTATACTATACCATGCTTCTATCTATACAGGCGAGGCGAAGCTAGCAGCCAGTGTGCCCAACACAGTGTTCTCTTTGGATCTCGTGGCTGCTGCACCGCATGTGATAGCATGCAACATGGCGCATGTGAGTAAGAGCTTGTTGTGACTGAAACCAAGTGTGACTACATCCGTAGTGACTAAAACAGAGTGTGACTACAACGAGGCAAGCTAGCAGCCAGTGTGCCCAACACAGTGTTCTCTCTGGACCTCGTGGCTGCTGCGCCGCATGTGATAGCATGCAAGATGGCGCAAGTGAGTGTGACTATATCAGTAGTGACTATAAACGAGGCAGGCTATCAGCCAGTTTGACCAACAGAGTGTTCTCTCTAGACCTCGTGGCTGCTGCACCGGGTGTGATGGCATGCACCATGGTGCACACATGAGTATGGCACACATGAGTTGAGTATGGCACACATGAGTATGGCACGTGCGTGTGACTGTAACCAAGTGTGGTAATACCCCATGTGTGGTAACCAAGTGTGGTAATACCCCATGTGTGGAAACCAAGTGTGGTAATACCCCATGTGGTAACATGGTGCATGTGATAGCATGCAACATGGCTCATGTGAGTCGAAGTGTGGTGTGACTGTTGTTGTTGGGGCACTGGGATTGTCCCGCAGCTGAGTGTGCGAGGTCTACAGGTGCGTGCGTCCATGGGGGTAATGGTGGGTGCTCTAGCCAACCACAAAAACATGCCCTTTTAATTGAATCGGTAGCATGCTGGGCCAACAACTGTAAACAGGTGTGATTATCTCTATAGTGACTAAATCAGAGTGTGAGTATAACGAGCCAAGCTAACATCCAGCGTATCCAACAGGGTGCTATCTCTAGCCACTGGGTGTGATAACATACATCATGGCGCATGTGAGTGTGCGAATAAAACGCAATCTTAATGCGAATACAAGAGCAGAGAGTGTGATTATTCTGTTCCGATGCCCCAAGTACACTAGCCATGTGATCCCAAGTACCCCAAGTACCGCCATGTTATCCCTAGCCATTGGGTGGTTGGGGCCTGAAAATTCTGTTCCGATGCTCCAAATACCGCCACGTGATCTGTGCGTTTGTGTGTGTCTTCAAACGTACCCCAACCACAAACATCCTCCTGTGCATATGCCTCCAAACCCCTATTCCCACTCATGTGCAACCCCCTTATCGGCATCCTCAATCGACGTCGCAGTTTTCTGTCTCTCCCAAATTTGCACAATTAGGCCGACTTATGTGCAGAATCCCCCCATGTGGGCCTCCGTTTGTCCCTGTGCTTGTCCCTACGCACATGCCCCAATACCCACTCATATGCAGACCCCCTTATCAGCATCCTCAATCGACGTCGCAGTCTTCTGCCTCTCTCGCATGGGCTCTGACTACCCCTCCTTCCTTTGTCCGAGTGAACACCACTTGGGTGCCATAGGTCTTTACGTGGCAGCAACTAGAAACGCTTAATTAAAATTTTGTAGAGAGCTTGCTTGAAAAACTCTGTGAAAAATTGATGGTAACCGGTTTCGGCTCGAGAGCCTTCTTCAGACCACAAAGAAATAAGCAAGACTAGCTAGCCTATAAATACCACCTCGAGGACTCCTCGCGAGGCATTCCTCTGCGGGGTCTCGACGATGGCAGGGAAAGAGAAAAACAAAACAGTACAAATATACTGTAGTCTAACACTTATGTGCAGAAATAAGAAAATTTCCAACTCTCTTCGGCAGCCTCCAAGCGAGAATGGTTCTTCTTGAAGCGAAAGTTCCGTGTGACATTATAACGAGATGACTTTTGAGTCGACTCAAAAGTCATCTCTCTCATGGGCTCTGCTGACTACCCCTCCTTCCTTTGTAACCATTCCCATGTGCATCCCCCATCCCCCCCCTATCTGCAGACCCCCCTGTCAGCATCATCTGTGGATGTTGCAGTCTTCTGCCTCTCTCTCATGGGCTCTGACTATCCCTCCTTCCTCTCTGAAGCTCATCGCGTCTTGATGCCAGGGTAAGCCTAGACTTAAGCCAGGGTAAGCCCACAGCCAGGGTAAGCCCACAGGCAGGGTAAGCCCACAGCCGGGGTATGCCCACAGCCAGGGTATGCCCACAGCCAGGGTATGCCCACAGCCAGGGTATGCCCACAGCCAGGGTATGCCCACAGCCAGGGTATGCCCACAGCCAGGGTATGCCCACAGCCAGGGTATGCCCACAGCCAGGGTATGCCCACAGCCAGGGTATGCCCACAGCCAGGGTATGCCCACAGCCAGGGTATGCCCACAGCCAGGGTATGCCCACAGCCAGGGTATGCCCACCAAGGTACAAAATACGGCCGTTTTATTCATTTTCAGACCGTATGGTACGGTACCTTTCGATACGGCCGTTTAATTCGGAAAAAAACGGTAGTCGTATTGTGTTTTTTTTGTGTGCAAAAATACGGCCGTTTTTTTCGACCGATTTTTTAGTTCCATCATGTGCATGGGAGGAGTAGGAGGAGAATGAGGAGAAGAGTGGGAGGGGCAGGAGGGGCTGCATGGGGGTACATGGTAGGAGTAGCCTAATAGTATGAGTAGGGGGAGTAGGAGTTTGGGCAGTAGGAGGAGCCGGAGGGGCTGCATGGGGGTGCGTGCATGGTAGGGGGAGGAGGAGGTGGAGGAGGAGGAGAGGAGGAGGAGGAGGAGGAGGACGGTCTTACCTCATTTTAGGGACTTATCTCGGACGCCGTTGCCACTAGCAGTCGTAGCTAGATGCCCCTTTTTGTTTAGGCAGTTAAAAAAAATTCTCGCAATAAAATATCCCTCTAACAAAAATTCGGCGTTTTTTTCCCAAAATCATCGAAAAAAACCATCGAAAAATACCATCGAAAAAAACGTCCTGCCGCAATTTTGCACCTTGATGCCCACAGCCAGGGTATGCCCACAGCCAGGGTATGCCCACAGCCAGGGTATGCCCACAGCCAGGGTAAGCCCACAGCCAGGGTATGCCCACAGCCAGGGTATGCCCACAACCAGGGTATGCCCACAGCCAGGGTATGCCCACAGCCAGGGTATGCCCACAGCCAGGGTATGCCCACAGCCAGGGTATGCCCACAGCCAGGGTATGCCCACAGCCAGGGTATGCCCACAGCCAGGGTATGCCCACAGCCAGGGTATGCCCACAGCCAGGGTATGCCCACAGCCAGGGTATGCCCACAGCCAGGGTATGCCCACAGCCAGGGTATGCCCACAGCCAGGGTATGCCCACAGCCAGGGTATGCCCACAGCCAGGGTATGCCCACAGCCAGGGTAAGCCCACAGCCAGGGTATGCCCACAGCCAGGGTATGCCCACAACCAGGGTATGCCCACAGCCAGGGTATGCCCACAGCCAGGGTATGCCCACAGCCAGGGTATGCCCACAGCCAGGGTATGCCCACAGCCAGGGTATGCCCACAGCCAGGGTTTGCCTGGTTCTTCAGCATTGAATTGAAATGCGTATGCTGGCACCATCATGTAGCATCTGAGATGTAGCCTCACATGGGAGGTACGGCATCCATTGCAGCCTCTCATGGGCTCTGGCTACAGCCAGGTACCATCCTGTAGAATCTGAGATGTAGCCTCACATGGGAGGTACGGCAGGCATCGCAGCCTCTCATGGGCTCTGACTACAGCCGGGTACCATCCTTTTGAGTCGACTCAAAAGCACTTCGGAGGGTACAGCATCCGTTGCAGCCTCTCATGGGCTCTGACTACTCCTCTTTCTTTCCTTTCCAGAAGAAGCACGGTTCCCCGAGAACTGAGACGATTTTTGAGGCGCCTCAGAAATATTTCTTCTTTCCTTTCCAGAAGAAGAACGGTTCCCCTCTGAAGTAAGCCATTCGATTTTTGAGGCGCCTCAAAAATCGTCTCAAAATTTTTGAGGCGCCTCAAAAATCGGTTCCCCTCTGAAGTAAGCCATCCGTGCGATCACGTGCGGAATGCTGCTTTGTTAGGCAACTATTTTTTAGGCGCCTCAAAATTAGGCAACTAACACACTTTCGTTCTGAATTGAGCCATCATTGGAATCATTGGAACCATTGGAATCATTGGAATCATTGGAACCATTGGAACCATTGGAATCATTGGAATCATTGGAATCATTGGAATAATCATTGGAATCATTGGAATCTTTGGAATCCTTGGAACCGTTGGAACCGTTGGAATCCTTGGCATCCTTGGAACCATTGGAACCATTGGAACCATTGGAACCATTGGAACCATTGGAATCATTGGAATCTTTGGAATCCTTGGAACCGTTGGAACCGTTGGAATCCTTGGCATCCTTGGAACCATTGGAACCATTGGAACCATTGGAATCTTTGGAATCATTGGAACCATTGGAATCTTTGGAATCATTGGAACCATTGAAACCATTGGAATCATTGGAATCATTGGAATAATTGGAACCATTGGAACCATTGGAACCATTGGAATCATTGGCATCATTGGAATCATTGGAATCATTGGGATCTTTGGGATCATTGGAACCATTGGAACCATTGGAATCATTGGAATCATTGGAATCATTGGAACCATTGGAACCATTGGAACCATTGGAATCATTGGAACCATTGGAACCATTGGAACCATTGGAACCATTGGAATCATCGGAATCATTGGAATCATTGGAATCATTGGAATCATTGGAATCATTGGAATCATTGGAACCATTGGAACCATTGGAACCATTGGAACCATTGGAATCATTGGAATCATCGGAATCATCGGAATCATTGGAATCATTGGAATCATTGGAATCATTGGAATCATTGGAATCATTGGAATCATTGGAACCATTGGAACCATTGGAACCATTGGAACCATCGGAACCATGGGAATCATTGGAACCATTGGAACCATTGGAATCATCGGAATCATTGGAAGCATTGGAACCATTGGAACCATTGGAATCATTGGAATCATTGGAATCATTGGAACCATTGGAACCATTGGAACCATTGGAATCATTGGAATCATTAGAACCATTGGAACCATTGGAATCTTTGGAATAATTGGCATCGTGTGCTTTTCCCACTACCTTCCCCTGCGCTCCCCTTGTGGCCGAAGCACAGCGGTTCTCTCATTATTGCAGAGGTCAGAAGTCGGTTCGACCCGACCACAGGAGGGGCGGAGCTGAAAGACTTCCTCTCTGCACTCAAACACTTGGGGTTTCGCCTTGTGACCAAGGTACACTCCAGAAACACTTGGCTATTTCCAGAGATGCTTAGGCTGTTTCCTTGCCACTGATTTGCGTCCAGCAGATTTACAGCACCTCACAGTCTCACTTGCAATCAAGCGTGTCCTTTGCTCTCTTTTTTCCGGGCAGGATCTAACCAACAAGATGTTTCTTCTTCTTTTCCTCGAGAAGGTGCAAGTGCAAGTGAGTGACAGGCAAAGGTTATGTACTAATGGTAACTCGGGACCATGACAATTTCAACTATTTCATCATTATAATCATTTGATGGTTACGGTCTGTTAACTGTTTGCATTTTGGTGGATGATTCTCTGCTTGCTTGCCCTGTATATCAGCTATACAATGTCCTCTTACTTGCATGTGCCTCTGCAGTTCGCTCTGCTTTCTCCCTTGGTAGCTGTATAGGAAATATATATCCATCATGTATACCTCTCCTTTTCTCGTGTGCTCTCACTTGTATTTTGGATTGCTGAATGGATGTGTTGGATTTGGGGGAAATGCTGGGTGAATGTACGGAATGCTGTGTGCTTCAATTAAATAAGGGACAGGCGAAGATTGATTCTTCGTTGACTGTTGACATCAAATGGCCGAGCTTGAAACCATGTCTTTACAAGAGACGGTGATGTGTATTCCTGCGTATGATGAACGATGACTCAAGGGAACAAATAAGAGATTGGTTTACTTCACTCATTCCTCACCACTGTTGAAGGATACTATTTCAATATCCACATTCAAAATTCCTAACCATGTGCTCATAACTTCCATCTGTTCAGCTGTATAGGATGCCCGAATAAAGGAGCTGTGGATATAGAATCTACACGATATTTAGCCACATGCCTTATTGAGACAAGGTTTAGTCTATAGTGACAAGATTATACCCTTCTATTATTTTTTTAGCGTTTTGGCTGAGTTCCTTATTTCCTAAATGCGGTATCGCGTATTTCGCACTGCAATCGGAGTGGTCCCAAATCCCGCGAGTTTAATTGGTCAGTGGGGGGACAGTAGCAGATGTGGAAGGTTCTTCCATGAGAAATGTGTGACTACAGCGGTTTCAAGTGATATCCGAGAAAACTGTCCTTGGGATTGCCTTTCTTTGCCTGAATTCCTATGATAGGGGAAGGCACACAGCACTAGCATCAGTTCTTCTAGGTTAGCTCTCCCCATCCCTATCACGAGAGCGAAGGAATAAGATTAATCTGCTCTGCTAGTTTGCGGTTGCGAGATCACCGCTTGCATTGTCTCGTAAAGTAACTGGCGTCCGCAGCTGGCGTCTGGCTGTCGAAAGGTCCGCATTCATGGGCTCTGCAGCTGCTGGATGGCTGGATATTACAGGTAAATATGTTACAGAAAATTCGGTTACATAGTATATAATACAGGTATTACGTTACAGATAGACGTTACAGGCGTTGAAGATTTACTTTACTTCTGAGCTTACGCTGCGACATCGATGTTACTTGTGTTAGTCGACGTCGACGACATCGCAGGCAGCCGAGAACAGGAAAAGGGAGCGCCGGGGCTGCGGAATTTAGATTCATAGTCGATGCTCGTATCGACTCGCACAACGGGAACGATGGTTCGGCATCGCTGTTAAAGCCTGCTGCTTAAGGATTTTCGCATAGCGGGCTGCGGAATCGAAGGATCCTAGTCACGTAGGCTCGTCTCGCGTTACACATTAGGAACGTTAAGGTTCCGCATCCTCGTGAAGGATCAGCTAGTGTGTGACAATATCGAAACGTCGCTTGTGACAGTAGGAGAGCGTGAAATTGTGCGAGGCAGCCGCTTGTGACACAGCGAGCTCGTGACCCCAGAAAAAAAAAAAAAAAAAAAACTTTTTTCAGCACCGAATTCTATGCATAGAATGACGGCGGTCTGGGTTCTAGCTCGTCAGACTCAGTCTAATTGTTGGTTCAAGCTTTCGGTTTGAGAATGCCTGTGATTTCCACAGACGATTCGAGAGTCACACAGAACAGGATGCGAGTGCGTGGCGTGGATTTGACAGGTTCTCATATCTTACCCCTTCTCGCCCGTTCTCCCGCTTGTCAGCCGTCGGATGCAAGGATCTGACGGACACGGAGCTCTACGGGTGGCAGGACCCGTACGTGGTGCTGCAGTACGGCTCGCAGTGCAAGCGCACAGCCACTCATAAAGGTACGACTGGAGGACACTGAGTCAGTCTGTTGAGCATGTGTGGATTTCGTAGTCACCCCTATGTGGTGCTGCAGTACGGCTCACAGTGCAAGCGCACGGCCACTCACAAAGGTAGGGTTTGAGAGGGTAAGCAGCAGGTCGGAAGCAATAGCAGGGATCTACGGACACACGGTACCTAGCTGCTCATATACAGCTACCAGGACCCGTACGTGGTGCTGCAGTATGGCTCGCAGTGCAAGCGCACGGCCACTCACACAGGTAGGGTTTGAGAGGGTAAGCAGCAGGTCGGAAGCAATGGCGTGTCTACGGACACAAGATAACTATCCATTCGCCTCTCTTCTTTCCCCAACTATCTTCTCCCCATTTGTCTCCAGACGGGCACATAGCCCCTCAGTGGAACGAGACTGTGCGAGTCAACTACCAGCCCAACGTGTTTGACTCCTCTCTCAAAGCCCACATGCTGCCTTCCTCTCCTTTGACCTCCTGCATTTTCCTTGCACCCACAGCACAGACGGCCACACAGCACCTCAGAGCAATGAAACTGTGCGAGTCAACTACCAGCCCAACGTGTTTGACTCCTCTCTCAAAGCCCACATGCTGCCTTCCTCTCCTTTGACCTCCTGCCTTTTCCTTGCACCCACAGCACAGACGGCCACACAGCACCTCAGAGGAACGAGACTGCGAGTCAACTATCAGCCCAACGTGTTTGACCTGTCTCGCTCACTACTCACATAAGGCGTCTTTCTCCTGTCTTCTCCTGTCTTCTCCTGTCTTCTCCTGTCTTCTCCTGTCTTCTCCTGTCTTCTCCTGTCTTCTCCTGTCTTCTCCTGTCTTCTTCTGTCTTCTGCTCATCCGGGTCATCCCTGCCCCATTCGACTCCAGACGGCAACACAGTCCCTCAGAGGAACGAGACTGTGCGAGTCAACTACCAGCCCAACGTGTTTGACCTGTCTCAATGCTCACATGCTGCGTTCCTCTCCTTTCCTCTCTCCTGGCTTCTCCCTGCAAATCTCCAGACGGCCACACGGCCCCTCAGTGGAACGAGACTGTGCGCATCAACTACCAGCCCAACGTGTTTGACCTGTCTGTGGGTGTGTGGAACGAGAACCGTCTCAAGCAAGACGCTGCTATTGGCTACTGCGTGTGAGTTTGCTGCTGCTTGCGAGTCTAAAAAGGTGCTCTAGGCCCCTTCAGATCAGAGAGGCTTTCTAGAGGTGCCTTTTGAGTCGACTCAAAAGTCACTGCTTGCGAGTCTAAATAGGTTCTCTAGGCCCCTTCAGATCAGAGAGGTTTTCTAGAGGTGCCTTTTGAGTCGACTCAAAAGTCACTGCTTGCGAGTCTAAATAGGTGCTCTAGGCCCCTTCAGATCAGAGAGGTTTTCTAGAGGTGCGTGTTTGACCCGTCTGTGGGTGTGTGTGTGGAACGAGAACCGCCTCACTCAATCCCCTCTCTTTCCCATCTCCCCAACTTTTTTGGCTAGAGTGAGCATCAACCGAGCTCTCGATGCAGGAGTGTAAGGCAGGTGGCCCCAAGTCACTTTTGCTGGCTTGGCGTTGTTACACCGAAACCACTCCTCCATCCTCCCTCTCTCCTCTATCCCTCCCTTCCTTAATCCCTCTCTCCTTAATCCCCCAAATTTCCTCTCCAGGGTGAGCATCAGCCGAGCTCTTGATGCAGGCGTTTCTGACACGTGGCATCCTCTTTACACGCAAAAGCAAGTGTGAGTGTCAGTGTTGTCAGTTTCTTGTAACGAACACCAACCCCCTTTTTCTTTTCCAAGTGCCCTTCCCTCTTTCAACATCTGTTACCTGTATGCTTGACATCCATCATGCATACATGATACATCCATCATGCATGCATCCATGCATACATAATACATCCATCATGCATGCATCCATGCAGTGCCAATTCCTCCTTAAGGGCGCTAAGGGCATGTCTCAATAAGTGCATCAAGTGTGTTACTGCATGCCTGGTCTAGCATCTAACTGTCAAACCGGCTCTCCATTTGGCTGTGCCCCTCTCTCACTCGCCTCGTGCAGGAGGAAGGGCAGCATTCGCCTTATCATCAAATACCACCCGGTAACTTCCGTACCCCATCCCATACCCCAATCCTTACCTCATGCCATACCTCATGCCTCACCTTACCCACACCTCCTATGTTACTTCATCCATCCCGTATCTCATGCCATACCTCATTCCGTTCCTCATGCCATACCTCATTCCGTTCCTCATGCCATACCTCATCCCATACCTCATGCCTCACCTTATCCACACTTCATATGTTACTTCATCCATCCCGTATCTCATGCCATACCTCATGCCTCACGTTATCCACACCTCATATGTTACTTCATCCATCCCGTATCTCATGCCATACCTCATCCCGTACCTCATGCACACCCAATTCCTTACCTCATGCCGTGCCTTATCCCATACCTCTTCTTTTGCTCTCTCTACCAGAATCCCCAGTACAAGCAACTGGGAGCCACTCCCCTGCCGGACCTAGTAGCTGCACCAGCCGTTACACCATCACCACCAGCAGCACCAGCAGCAGAAACAGCAGCAGCAGCAGTAGCAGCCGCCGCATTTAGTGCAAATAGAAGCAGCAGCAAAAGCAATGCAGCTTCAGCAGGGTCCCTCCCACGCTCAGATCTCTCCATGGCCCTTCACGGCATCGATGCATCTGCAGCTGGTAACCACAACACTGCAGCTGGTAACTATAACACTGCAGCAGGTGCTGCTAGTGATAGGGAGAGTGGGACTTCGACTGCTGATCCAGCCAGTAGCGCAGCCGCTACCACCAGGAGCGATGCAGGTACTGGGTCCCTCCCTCGCTCCGCTCTCTCCATGGCCCTTCACAGCATCACTGACAACGATAATGGTAGTGACAAAGGCAATGGCACAGAGCAGCCGAGCAACGAAAACGCATCCTCTTCTCCATCCTCTTCGTCCTCCTCCCGCCGCCCTGCCTCCCTCCCTCGCTCGAATCTATCCATGCAGCTCGATGCTATAGAGCGTATGCTGGCTGTAGCAACCATCACACCGGACTCTGGCTCATTCGGCTCTGCTACAGGTGCTGGAGCTGGTGCTGTTGGTGCGGCAGGGGTGGGGTTGGCGGGAGCAGGAGTGAAGGCAAAGGACGAGGTACCTGGGTGGCAGATAGGGAGAGCCACTTGGGAGCAGGAATCAGGAGAGGATGAGAATGCTTTGCCTGTTGCCCTCGGGGGTGCACTGGGTGGGAATGCGGGGGTGCCGCTGGATACAGTTGGGGAGGAGGCGTTAGCTGCTGCCAGGCTGTCTCAGCGGATTGATGAGATCTACAAGATGCTTGCTGCTGAGTGCGAAGGGGGGGGTTCAGGTGTGGCTGGTTCTTCAGGTGAATTTGAAAAAGCACCTGGTGATAGCAGAGGAGCACCTGGTGGCAGCGGAGAAGCGCCTGGTTCCTCCAGTGGTGTAGCTGATAAAACACCTGATGATAGCAGAGCAGCACCTGAGGGCAACAGAGGCAAACCTGATGGTGCCAGCCCAGGTGATGCTGCTGAATCTGCTGCTGCCGCTGCTGCTTCGAAGGCTTTTTATTCTTCTTCCAAAGTCATTACTCACAACACCGCCAGTAGTACCCCCACCACCACCGGCACCAGCTCTACCACCACCAACAGCAGCAGCAGCAGCAAGCAGGTTGGACGGTCCAGATTACGCCCCACGGTTTCCCAGAAGCAGCTGGTTACCATCAAACAGATCCTGGCTGAAGCAGGCAGATTGCCGGCCAATCACAGCACTGACAGCGTGGCAGCAGAAGCTGCCAAAGGAGAGATCTCAGCAGCTAAAGCTGTGTTTGACAAACAGCAGCAAGGGGGGCCGGCTTGGCCGGAGGGACGGGCGGAGGAAAGGGAAGAGGGAGGGCGAAGGGGCGGGCAGGGGCAGGGTTGGGCTGATACCATTGTGGAAGGAGAGGAAGGAGAGGAAGGAGAGGAAAGAAAGGAGGGAGAGGAGGGAGGAAAGGCGGGAGGATTGTCTGGTAGGGTAGGAAGCGGTGGGGCTTCAAGAGGAGAGTCACGAGGAGGGTCGGGAGGAGGTTTGGGAGGAGGTTCGGGAGGAATACATAGGGGAGGTTCAGGTGGGCTTTCAGGGGGGTTGGCAGGGGCGGTGTCAAGCATGCAGGGGGCGGTTACAGGGGCAATGGCAGGTGTTATGTCAGGTGCTGTTTCAGGTGGTGGTGGTGTGCTCACTGGCATGATGGGCATGGTTGCAGGCACTGTTACAGGAGCAGTCGACAAGGTGTTATCAGGAGAAGCAGAAAGCATGATGCGGCATGCGCTTGATGCAGCCAAAGTGCCTCTGGTTAAAGGAGGGATGGGTGGGGGAGTAGGGGGGATGGGTGCCCTTGGAAATACCCCACAAGTACAGTGTTTGCCTCCCAATGCTCCATATCCTGCTCCTGCTGCTCCTCACCCTCTCGCTCCCCCTTTGGCCTATACGCCTTCCTATCTCGCCCACACACCGTTCCAGCATGAGTCTGTCGATGCAATCAACCAATTCCATTCCACACCCGCCTCTTACTCCTCCCATTCCCCCTCCTCGGCCTGCTCCTCCTCCACCTCCGCCCCCTCATACCCTTCCCTCTCTTCGTCGTCGTCTTCTTCTTCTTCCTCCCCCTCCACCTTCTCATACCCTACTCCCCCGTCCTGGTCCTCCCCCCATCCCTCCTCTTCCTACCCTCACCCCTCCGTCTCATACCCTTCTCCCTCCTCCACTCCCTCCCCGTCCACTCTCTCCTCCGACCCTCAGCATTCCAGCAGGGGTGTCTATCCCTCCATCCCCTCCTCCCCCTCTCCCTCCTCTTCTACCATCCCCTCTGCTCTATCTTCCGATGTTTTCCACTCTGATAGTAGCCATCACCCCTCTAACCCCTCATCCTTCTCTTCCGCCTACCCCCCTTCTGAATCTTCTCAATCGGTCGAATCTGACGGCTCAGATCACTCCTCCACCCACCCTCCCTCCTCGCACCCTCCTAAGTACTCCTACACTCACGCCCCTCCTGCGGCATACCCTCCCCCTCCACCCACCCATTCCGCCCCTAACACTTCAACACCCCACCCATATCCTTCCAACCCTGCACCTCCTAACCCTTATCCCTCCTCCCCTGGCCCAAATCCTTACCCCTATCCTCCATCCCCATATCCCTATCCTTACCCTCCCCCACCTCAGTACAACTCAACCCCTCAGTACAACTACCCTCCCCAAGCACCCCCAGGGCAATATCCAGGCTACCCCCCTCCTCCTAATGCTGCTCCTTATTACCCCTATGCTGCACCGCAAGGGCCTACACCCTATCCTCCTTATGGACAGGCTGGTGCACAGTACCCCACTCCCTGGGGTTATCCAGCCCCACCCGCTCCTTATGACCGCAGAGGTGGTTATGGTGATGGCAGCAGCAATCGCAACCATGGAGATGGTAACCGCAAAACGTCGCCTGTTTCATTCGATCGTCATAGTAGCGGTATGACCACATCACCATATTGCATTGCATTTCGTCCTAATCTTGGTTCTTCGTTGCAACTTTTATTTCTAACCGTGCCCTGATCGCTTGTTATCTTTTCTTCCGTATGTCTCTGTTTTGCATGCTCTATTTGTGTTGCTGCATTGGTGTTCTAGGTGGGAGTAGTGGCTCACATCGTAAGGACGAACGCAGGTACAAGGAAAGCAAGTCTCACCACAAGTATAAAGAAGATCGATGCAAGAAGGATCGTTGTGACTGCAAACACTACGAAAAGTGCTCCCACAAGGAGTACAAATTCAAAGGCAAAGACCGCTATGATAAAAAGTGGAAGTAGCTATTGTATGTTGGTACTTGCGTCATGGAAAGTTGCGCTCGTTTCGTTTAGCCCTCATAGAAATGTATTCCCCCTGGTGAAGCTAACCTTCTATGAGGCGTATATTCTGATCGCCAATTTCGAGGCGACACTCCCAAGGTGAGGAATTCTATCAGCGGATTTTCCCAGCCGCCGCTTCCCAGCGTATCAGGCAACCCTGATTGGTCCCTCGGAAATGGGGAAAAAACTGGTTCAACCAGGTTGCGAAGCTGGCAATGGACTTGCGAGATTCATCAGCGGCATGTCGGACATACAGCTTGAGCCCGAGAGAGGAACGCCACCTTTTTTGAGCCGCGGGGGCTTCTGTCGATTCGGTAACTTATTTTGTCGCAATAGGGGAAGGCTGGGTGGCAGAGTTCAGATTGCGTATGTAACCACGGTTACGCTGTTTAGCACTGCGATGATCAGAAACAACCCCAAGTGCTGTTTAATTAGCTCAACCAATAGGTCACGAACATGACATTTGCTCACAATTTGTGCGGCTTCGATAAGTGTGGAGTTGTTTCGACCGAATAGGGCTCTAGTTCAGTCAGTTGCCAAGGGGTCATGCCATGCTGAGTCATCGAGGCGTTTCCCGTTTGCGGTGTTCCGTAGATTTCCATTGCGCTCGTGTCCTTCGCGGCTTCGCGAAAAACGCGAAAGGTCATTTGGGCCTGGACGAACCGCCCTCGCGACGCCGCCCGAAAATATGTGGCGAAAACCAGAAGGCTGCAACTGCTTCGTCGCTGTCCGCATGTTCATCCCCGCTGTCATGATGACTCAGCACAGTTGCCGGCGCGGGGGACTCTCTCGAAACGGATACTGCCCGTAAACTTCTTCTATTGGGCGAGGGGGTGCAATTGGGATTTTTTTTGGGCAGAGCACTTTGCGGACATCGTTTGTAGCAGCAGTCACTCCCCATCGCAGGTTGCTCTCCTGATCCGCTCGCCGCATCTCGTAGACTCCGGGCCGGAGCCTACTTTGCTCATTTTCGACTATCACTCGTGTCTCGGTCCGTGCTGCCAAAGAGGGTGGTAGGGAGAAGAAGCCGCTCCGGAGCCCTCTTAGTTTGTCCATTCTTGATAATCCGTTCTGCCAGAGAGGGTAGGGCAAAGTGGCGAGAGCAGCGGTAGCGGATCGGTCATGGCGTCTGGCTGGCTAGACGTCACAGGTAAGAGAGTAGAAGGGAGCAGGTGATCTCTAAGACATCAGCTGGAGTTTCTTTGGTAGAAATCTCAGGAATCGCCTGCATTTGGCTGGCTAGAAGTCTCGGAAAATAAGATCGAGACCTGCGCCAGGGATAGGAACTCGGTCGTGGCGTCTGGATGGCTCCTTGATGAAAAGAAACAAATAAGCAATGTCTCTAAATAGGCCATGCCGTGAAAATAAGCAATTTCCCAAACGAGTGTCGTCTGAAACGAGTGTCGTTCCAGAGAATGAAAGAAATGCGATGTTTTACGGGGAGGAGACGAGTGACGTGTGTGCCGTTTCACAGCACTACTATGTAGATGTGGATGACGTTTAACGGCATAGGTGCGAACCGAGAGGTGGGAACCGAATAGGTGAGAACCGAATAGGTGGGAACCGAATAGGTGAGAACCGAATAGGTGAGAACCGAATAGGTGAGAACCGAATAGGTGAGAACCGAATAGGTGAGAACCGAATAGGTGACAACCGAATAGGTGACAACTGAATAGGTGACAACCGAATAGGTGAGAACCGAATAGGTGAGAACCGAATAGGTGACAACCGAATAGGTGAGAATCGAATAGGTGAGAACCGAAGGAATTAATGAAAGTCGCATCCATGCATGACCAGTGTGACGTCAGTGTAACGTCAGTCAGACGTGCGGATATACCCCCAAGTGCTGTCATAGGTGAGACGAGAGAACGAATGTCGTCACAGCCATGCATGGCGTGTAAAAGCATGTGACGTCAGACGTGCGAGTATCATACCCAAGTGACGTCACACGGCACCAGGAAACCCTCATATGAGCACTGTGATGACGTTTGATTACAAGCAGGATGTGTTATGTTTTTTAAATCTCTTAAAAACGTAACACAGGAAGCCCTCCTACAAGCACTGTGATGACGTTTGATCGCAAGCAGGTTTCAGGCCTCCCCTGTTAGAAACGACCCCCTGTCTTTTTCTCGGGATAGTTAAAGCTGTAGCTCCGTAAGAGTGTTATCTATTTTTTCCTCTTGCCCCCCCAATTCGCCACGTGGCACCAGTGGTGGGATGCAGGAGCCTGGAGGACGTGGAGGTGTATGGCAAGCAGGACCCTTACTTGGTGTTACAGTGTGGTGACCAGCAACACCGCACCAAGACACACCGAGGTAGGTTGCAGGGACGTAGAAGACGCCCCATGGTAGGTTGCAGACATAATTCATATGTAAGACATGGAGGTGTATGGCAAGCAGGACCCGTGCTTGGTGTTACAGTGTGGTAACCAGCAATTCCGCCCAACGACACACCAAGGTGCTCAATTCCTCACTCCGTATGCTGAGTCAGCATATCGCCATGCTCCGCCGAGTCAGCATTTCAATCATGCGTTGCATTGAGATGCATGGAGTGTGCCAGCTGTCACAATCTTTAAACCCCACGTTCCTGAAACAACTTTAGCAGCTCTCAACGGTCGTCCCATTCCCATTCTGCACTTCCCTCCCCTCCCCGTCCCTCCCTCCCATAGACGGCCATCTTACCCTCGTGTGGAACGAGACGTCTCTAGTGCAAATGACGGCAGATGTGTACACAGTTATCTCTTCCAACCCCGATTCCTCTCCCCCTTTCAAGTGCAGCCCAAGGGGGGCTGGCTGGGGAGGGAGGGGGGGGGGGATTGGATCTATTCATCAACCTGCCTCGAACCCCCTCCTCTTTCTCCCCGTCTCCCCCTTCCCTCCCTCCCCTTCCCTCCCTCCCATTAAACCTGCCTCGAACCCCTCCCCTTTCTCCCCGTCTCCCCCTTCCTCCCACCCCCTCCCGTCCCTCCCACAGACGGCCACCTTACCCCGGTGTGGAACGAGACGTTTCAAGTGCAGCTGAAGGCGGGGGTGGATGCCATAAAGTGCGGCGTGTGGGATCAGAACAAGATCGGCAAAGATGTCCTCATTGGCCAGTGCTCGTACGTCCCCCGCTTGTGATTGGCTAGTGCTTGCGCGTGCTGCTGTGACTGGCCACTGCTCGTACGTGCTGCTGTGATTTTCATGCTTTCGTGTCCATTAATATATAGTGTGTGGGGTATGCGTGATTTATGGACCCTCTGCTCCTGTTGCCTTCTGCTTCCTCTCTGAAAGCCCTCTGCACCACTCTGACTGCCTTACGCACCGCTCCTCCGATTGCCCTTTGCACCACTCTGAATGCGCTCTGCACCGCTCCGACTGCCCTCTACACCTCTCCGACTGCCTTTAGCATAGATCCACTTCAAATATTCTGCACCTCCCTCCTCGGGCTACTCAGTCTCTTTCAGAGTGATTGTGCAGCCACCATTGACAGTTGACTCGACTCAAAGAATCTCTTCCTATTTTCCGCACCTCCTTTCTATGCCTACTCACTTTCTTCCAGTGTGAATGTGCAACCAGCATTGACAGCAGGAGTCTGGGACACTTGGCATCCTCTCTTCACAAAGAAACAAAAGTAAGCCTTCTGGGTCTTTTTCCTTCTCCCAAGGACAAAGGTAGGCTTTGAATAAAGATTTACTGAGACAGCAGGTGTCTGGGACACTTGGCAACCTCTCTTTCCAAAGAAGCGAGAGTAAGCCTCTGAGTCCTTCTCCTTCTCCTCAGGGCAAAAGTAAACGTTGAATATCACTTGGGTTGAATGTACAGCCGACATTGACAGCGGGTGTCTGGGACACACCTGGCATCCCCTCTTCGCTAGAAGGATAAAATATGCATTTGGGTCACATTCACGACCTGTCTTACCCCTCATTTATTCTGTCCGCACCGCACACCTTTTGAGTCGACGCCAAAATCAGATGCTTAGCTAACTCTTTGTTGCTCCCTTCTGCTCTCCTTACATTCCTCTGCAGGCAAAAGGGTAATCTTCGCCTGGTGCTTAAATATCTCCCTGTAAGGCTCTTCCTTACTGTGTTCAATGTTTCTTGTCTCCCAACTTTCCCTGCTCTTTCCAACCTTAAGATTTAGAGACATCAGTGAGTCAAGGGTGTGGGAAAGCTTGCAATGTTGCAGCTTGATTCATGCCTCCGCTGCTTTGTCCACTTTCAGACTTCCCTTTCATCCATCATCCATCCGTCCATCTGCTACTTTCCCTCTCTTGGGTTGACTCAAAGGTCTCCAGGCCCACCCGAGCCAATCCCCATACCCCCCAGCCACGCATTTTGAGCCCGTTTACAAAATCACTTTAAAACGAGTACTAAGTGAACGAACCATTGATCAGTCCTCCTCTTGCCTTTTTGCTCCAGGTCCACCCGGGCCAGTCTGCACCTGCTCCAGGTTCGCTTTCCCCAGCAGCAGCAGCAGGAGCAGGAGCAGCAGCAGCAGCAGCATCTGTACCCCTTCCCTCTCACTACACCACATCACCCCGTCAATCATCTCACTCCCCCGCCCCACCTCCACCGCACAACCTCTATCCTACGCCTCCCCAGAACCAGCCACACCCATCTCCCTACCCACCTCTGCCACAGTCGAGTTTTGAGCCACCGGCTCAAAATCCAGCCCAGAATCAGTACCCATCCCCCTACCCTCCTCTGCCGCATAACCCGCTCTCTCAGCCACCCACCTCCTCCTCCTCCTTCCACTCTCACGCTTCCTCACTCCGATCAGACTCCCCTTCCTCCTCATTCCATAGTCAACACCCATCCCCAGCCCCGTCATTCTCCTTTGCTGGCCAAGACTCTGCACCTAACAATCTCTATCCCCCTTCGCCTCTTGCTCCTCCTTCCGCTTCTCCTCAACCCTATGGGGGGTATGGCAGCTATGCTCCTGCTGCTGCTGCTGCTGCTGCTGCTGGAAATGCTGGTGCTGGCCACGCTAACAGCCCCCTCCCACGAGCAGTTTCCTGCGGTGCTCCTTCCGCTCCTCCTCTCTCTCCTTCCCACTCCCCAGCTCCATCCCCCCCTCCCTCCCCTCCTCCCAGCTACCCCTACGCCTACTCTCCTCAACCTCAGCCCACAGCACAGTTACCCCAGCAGCCAGCAGCTGCTACTAAAGCAGCGCAGAGTATTGCGTCGACTCAACAGTCATCTTCCGCTCCTCCTCCCAGCTTCCCCTACGCCTACCCTCCTCAACCCACAGCACAGTTTCCCCAGCAGCCAGCAGCGCCTACCACAGGACAGCGCACAGGAGAGGGCGCAGCAGCTGTAGCAGCAGCTGGGGCCGCTATGGGCGCTCTTGCTATTGGTGCTGCTGGGAGCGGGGATAATGCTGCTGGGAGCAGGGATGGTGGTGTGGGGCCCCCCTCACATGCTTCTCCTTCCCCTTCGTACGGCTCTCCATCAGTGCCTTCCCACCCCACACCCTCCTACCCACCACCACCAGCAGCACCACTGGCAGCACCAGCAGCAGCACCAACAGCAGCAGCACCAGCAGCACCAGCACCAGCACCACCAGCACCTTCCACGGACTATTATCCTCCTCCTCCCCCCTCTCAAGGCGCATACCCTCCTCCCACCTCACAAGGCGCATACCCCCCTCCCCCCTCTCAAGGCGCATACCCTCCCCCCACCTCTCAAGGCGCATACCCTCCCCCTCCCTCTCAAAGCGCATACCCTCCCCCTCCCTCTCAAAGCGCATACCCTCCCCCTCCCCCTCAAAGCACATACCCCCCCCCCCCTTCTCAAGGCGCATACCCTCCTCCCCCCCCTCAAGGCACATACCCTCCTCCTCCCTCACAAGGCGCATACCCTCCTACACCCTACAACTACCCTCCCCCTCCTCAAGCCCCCCCTTATGGTTACCCGGGTTATTCTCCCCCTCCACAGGCTCCCCCATATGGGTATTCCTATGCTCCTACTCCCGCTCCTTATGCCTATGGAGCCGCCCTTCAACCATATTATTCAAACTACCGCACACCACCTGTGGTGGTGGTGCATCGTCATGGACATCATGGTACGTGCATTACCATGTTTTTACGGTATTTTAAGATTTGTTTTCTACACCGCAGCATTATTTCCTATCAACTTCCTCCTACCTACCTTTCCGGCATTTGAATGTTTGCTTCTTATTCCGTACCATTATGCATTTTCCGTTGTTTGGTATTGTTTTGGGAATGCAGGGTATTATGGAAAACACAAAGGCTACAAAGGCTACAAGGGTGGCTTTTTTTTCAAGTAGCTATGAGCTGCCATCCTAATCTCACGTGTAGTGCATACTTGTACACATACGCATGTATTGACCAGCTGAGGTTGTACCCTCAGCATATGCTGGTTATCCAGTCTGCCATTTTGGGAACTTCCCCGAAAGTGGGCTGGCAAATCCCCAGGTTTGTGCTTAACGCAGTTCTTGACAGTGACAACAAACGGCTGACCACTCACTCCATGCTGACTCTGTAAGGTGGACCAATCCCAAGAAGAGAATCAACTGAAAGAGAATATTCCCCGGGACCAATCAGCATTCTCCTGCGCACAATTCAAGGCGACGCGGTGGGAAGCCAAACCAAACCAGCACGCAGCCGTCGAGAATGGACGACATCTGTCCGTCAAAAGACAACATCGGATAGTTTTTGGTCAGATTAGTCGCCTTTCAAGCAAATCCTGCCCCGATGAACCCATCCTGCCTGGCACTTTGCTGATATCTTCGCAAAATCTGTCTCCTCCTTCCTGCCTGCCTACACATGACAAGTCATATCAGTAAATTGCTAGCTGGTCAGTTTCCAACAAGCCTCCTTCTGCCCGTCCGCCTCCTTTCTTAGAGGCTGAGCACCGGGAGCAAACCAACCAACCTCGAGGAGCATCAACCAACCTTTCCGCGTTGTCCTTTGGTTCGAGCCAGGAAGCAAATTATCTATGGCTGCTTGCCTGGACCGTAAACCACTGTCCTCTGCTTACTTCTGTCATCGAGACATACGTGAAGCTTTCAGGAACAGTTTGCTGCGTCGTTCCTGAATCCTGAGTTGCTTTCCTGTGCGTTTTCTGCATTCCTTAGCATTGCGTTTGACCTAGTGTCGCTTTCCTTGGTAAACAGCAACAGCGAGGGAACGTTTCTCTAAGCCTGTCAGCTGCTCCTCTTTCACAGTGCGACCGTAGCGTGGAGTTGAAAACTGACCGCGGCGCTTTTGAGAATTCCCAAAGACACCCCGCGATGATTTCCCGCGCGTGCTCCACCGTGCCGCCGGGCCTGGCGCTACTCCGTCGATTCCGGCGAAAGGAGTTCTCCTTCGCGGCACACCAGATTCTCGTCCTCGTTTTAACCTTCCTCGCTTACGCGCTCTACCACGCCTCGCGAAAGCCTCCCAGCATTGTCAAAGGCGTGCTCGACCCCCTCGATACAGGCAACTCCGTTACTAGCAACCCCTGGACGTTTTACCTCCAGCAGCTGGAAACCTGCCCGGAAAACGGCCTCTTGCGGGCTGAAAAAAAAGCCGGATGGGCTCCGTTCAACGGCAAAGGCGGGAAATCTCTTCTCGGGGAGCTCGATATCGCGTTCTTAGGCTGCTACGCGATCGGGATGTACATAGCCGGCCACGTGGGCGACCGAATCGACCTCCGGATCTTCCTCTCCGTGGGGATGTTCGGCAGCGGCTTATTCGTATCCCTCTTCGGGATGGGGTATTTCTGGAATATACACTCTTTAAACTACTTCGCCGCGGTGCAAATGGCGGCGGGGTTCCTCCAGGCGACCGGGTGGCCGAGCGTCGTCGCGATCATGGCGAGCTGGTACGGGAAAAAAGGCCGGGGACTCATCCTAGGCGTGTGGAATGCGCACACCTCCGTCGGTAACATCCTCGGATCGCTCATCGCGTCATCCGCGCTGGCTAGCGGCTGGGGCTGGGCGTTTCTCATTCCCGGATTCAGTATTATGGTCGGAGCGCTGGTCATGTTTTTGTTTCTCTCCCCGGAGCCGGAAACCCTGGGCCTGGAGTCGCCGCACTCGTTGATGTTATCTGAGACGTCGAGTGAGGCTGGCGGCAGCGTGCACGGGACGGGAGACGAGGAGGCGGGGTACGGGGCGGTTGAATGCGGTGACGTGACTGCTGACGTTTCTGCTGATGTCACTGCTGACGTGTCGCGATGTGGTCCATTTACTGCAGCTGATTGCTGCGAGCGGAAGGGAACAGAAGCTGCTGGTCTACAGGTTTTATTGGCTCCTAAGGAGGCTGCTTATGCGTCACTATCGGAGCAGCTTACAGTGCCGCTTTTACAGGGGAAGGACGATGCAGCGCCAGAAGCGGAGGGTCGGATTGTGATAACAGAGGACATGCTTAAAGCGGGGATTGGAGGGAGCAGCGAGGAGCATGAGGCGATTAGTTTCTGGGACGCGTGCCGGATTCCTGGTGTCGCGGCGTACGCGTTATGCTTGTTCTTCGCTAAGCTCGTGGCGTACACGTTTCTGTACTGGCTGCCGTTCTACATCAAGCGGACAGGTGAGCCGAGCCGAGTATTGCTTACAGAGTCTTGGGCAGAGCATGCAAGATCATTCAAGAGCATGCAAGAGCGTGCAAGAGCGTGCAAGAACATCCTAGAGCATGCAAGAGCATGCAAGAGCGTGCAATAGTGAGTGTGCAAGGGTGAGCCGAGCCGAGCATTGCGTACAGAGACTTGGGCAGATAGAGCATGCAATAGTGAGCGTGCACGTTGAAATGAGAGGGAGAGGGAGCGGCTGAGGAGCACAGAGCAAGAATGAGCAGGATGAGAAGGACGAGCAGGATGAGAAGGACGAGCAGGATGAGAAGGACAAGCAGGATGAGCTATCAGTTTCTTAAGAGCGCAAGGGCGAAAGTCCCCCCTTGCTCCCAAGTGCAGCGGCGTGGGAGTTCATATGGGCATTCGTTTTCTCTTCTTTCCCCATCACAACCTATCACTCTCGCATTGCATCAATCACTCTTAAACTGTTGTGTGTACTGACACCGCCACGTGGACTGACACCGCCTCGTGGACTGACACCGCCGCGTGGACTGACACCGCCACCATATGATTGACACGGGCACCATATGAACTCACACCGGTACCATTTGAACTGACCCCTACGGCCACCAGTCTCCTTCTTAGCCCGTATCCTTGCCATCGTGAGCCGTAACTACCGCCCCTTTTGGGCCGCCTCAAAATCAGTATGAACTGTCATCCTACTGCTACCAGTCTCCTTCTATCTTCTTCTATCGTCTAAGCCCACATTCCTGTTTTCCTGGCAAGCCGTTTCTCTGACCATTCAGGCGCGCAGGCCACCCTCTCCGCCACCTTCCTGCTCCCCTCCTTCTCACTCCCCTCCTCCATTCTTCCTCTGTTTCCATCCGTACCCTCCTTACCTTTGCTATAAGGCGCCTTTAAAAAAGTTTCCTTCCATACCCTTGTTACCTTCGCTCTTTTCGTGACCAGAAATCTCCGGGCACCATTTGACCGACGCGTTCGCAGGCGTGACATCGACAGTCTTCGACCTAGGGGGGGTACTGGGGGGGATAGTGGCCGGTCACCTGCTCCCCTGCTCACTGTGCTCTCCTGCCCCCTGGCTTCCTCCCACCTGTCTTCCCCCCCCCCCCTGTCTTCCTCCTCCCCTCTAACCAGAAATCGCCGGCCATCATCTCACGGACGCATTCGCAGGCGTGACATCGACAGTTTTCGATCTCGGGGGGGTGCTGGGGGGTAAAGTAGCTGGTCACCTGCTCCCCTGCTCACTGTGCTCTCCTGCTCTCCCTCTCTTCCGTCCCCCCTTCTCTTCCCCCTTTTCTCCTTCTCTTCCCCCTTTTCTCCTTCTCTTCCCCCTTTTCTCCTTCTCTTCCCCCTTTTCTCCTTCTCTTCCCCCTTTTCTCCTTCTCTTCCCCCTTTTCTCCTTCTCTTCCCCCTTTTCTCCTTCTCTTCCCCCTTTTCTCCCGTAACCAGAAATCGCCGGCCATCATCTCACGGATGCATTCGCAGGCGTGACATCGACAGTCTTCGACCTAGGGGGGGTGCTGGGGGGTATAGTGGCGGGTCACCTCTCCGACCACACAGGTGCGCACGCCACCGTCTCGGCCACCTTCATGCTCCTAGCCGTCCCGGCCCTCCTCCTCTACTCCCTCCTTGGCGGGATCTCGCTTTCGGTGCATATCGCTCTTCTCTCCTTGGTTGGTTTCTTCGTGAACGGGCCGTACGCGCTCATCACTTGTGCAGTCTCGGCTGATCTAGGGCAGCATGCTTCTTTAAGGGGGAATTCCAAGGGACTCGCTACAGTAACTGCGATTATTGATGGGACGGGGTCGCTAGGCGCGGCACTGGGTCCGTTCTTAACGGGGATAGTGGCAGAGATCGGAGGGGGAGGAGGGGGTGGGGGGAAGGGAGCAGGGGATTTGGGGTGGAGGCTTGTATTTGCAATGCTGATTGGAGCTGCACTGGCGGCAGTGCTGTGTATAGCCCGGCTAGTTTTAGGAGAGTTTAAAGCAGCAGCGGAGACCTCAGCTGCTCTGGAGGCTTTCCTCGAAGCTGAGAGGCAGCAGGAGGAGGAGGAGCAGCAGCAGCAGCAGGGGGGAGGGAGGAGACAAGGGGAGCAAGTGGGGCAGCGGGGGGAGCAGGGGGTGGGGCAAGGGGGGCAGCAAGGGGGAGAGCAGAGGCCCCAGTGCAAGAGCAGGAGGATGTATCGGTGGCACCACTGGTGGCGGAAGGGTGGAGGGTACTGCTCCACGTGCTGCTGCTGCTGTGTGGTGGCCCGGTGCTGTAGCTGCCCGCCCCCTGTTAAGGTGCACCACCATCATCAAGAGCAGCCGCAGGAGCACCAACATCAGCAGCACGAGCAGCAGCAACAGGAGCAGCAGGAGCAGGAGCACCAAGATCAGCATCACCATTAGCAGCAGCAAGGGGCGTGGGGGGGGACGGGGTTGGAGCAATGAGCGTAGTCGGCAGGGTTAGAGCTGGTATTGGTGGTACCACTGGTGGCGGAAGGGTTGAGGGTACTGGCCCACGCGCTGCTGCTGCTGTGTGGTGGCCAGGTGCTGTAGCTGCCTGCCCCCTGTTAAGGTGCACCACCACCATCAACAGCAGCAGAAGGAGCACCAACATCAGCAGCAGCAGCAGGAGCACCAAGATCAGCAGCACCATTTGCAGCAGCAGGGGGGGGGGGGAGGACGGGGTTGGAGCTATGAGCGCAGTACAGGGCAAGAGGTGGTGGTGGTGGTAGCAGCACGAGCAGCAGCAGCACCACCACCACCACCACTAGCAGCATCACCATTAACCGTATCAGCAGCAGGGGGAGCAGCAGCAGCAACAGCTGAGGTCCGCTAATGTGTGTACGGAGCTGTTAGGGATTCTTCAGCACCACAACCATCATTATCACTAGCAGCTCCAGATGCAGCAGCAGCAGCAGCAGCAGCCGAGAGTTGGCTCAAAATTGCATAATTCCACTTGGCTTGCAGCAGCTTTCTCTTGCTTTCACTTTACATTTGGTTTGCATACACTTGTTGACTTTTAGGCTAGGGAGGCCAAACTTGCCCGATGACCGCTGCTTTTCTGCATGAAATTCTAGATTGTATATAGGCTCTTCATAAATCGAATATTTTTTTGCACTCCTTGTGGTCTTAACCCACAGACACATGCACAGAATTCCGAAGGGTGCGGGAACCAACCAAGCTCAGCACACTACGAGTGGTGCATAGCGGATAGATTTCCCAGATTGTGAAAGCTTGCTTGGGTCACCTTGGCAAAGGCAGCGTGCTTCATTTCATATGGGCAGCGTGCTTCATTTCATATGGGCAGCGTGCTTCATTTCATATGGGCTACAGTACATGGTTCTCGTCCAATAGACTACACCGTCCAATAGGGTGGGTGGGTGGGGAAAGCGAATCTGGAACTAGAAATGAAGAACGTGGGTGAGGTCGAATGGCCTCACGTCCCTCTTTTGTAGGCAAAAGAGGGTGAGTAGCGCTTCGACGCTGACCTTGCTGCGTTGGCCCTCGCTACACTTTCACAATACACATTTTTTAGAAAGTGTTACACGCTTTCAAAAAATTACATATTGTGAAAGCTTGCTTGGGTCACCTTGGCAAAGGCAGCGTGCTTCATTTCATATGGGTCTTCTGAGGCATGTGAAGCAGGGGCTGGCGGTGTCGCTCGATGGAGAGCTGGTGATGTCTGGGCGATGGAGCGGCGGACGCGTCTTGGATGCGTGTGGATGCCGCAAGGAGCTGGTCCTGCGCAATGGTGACGTAGAGATCTTTGGCCGTATCGCTGCGCCAGCGACCGAGTCGCTTGAAGAGCCGGTCAGGGATCCCCAAGTTAGCTGCCGCAGTTGCGGCGCCCTTGCGGAAGGAGTGAGTGCCGAGGTGTCTGTTGTCAAGCCCAGCCTTGGCGAAGGCTTCGAGGCACCAGTTGCGGATGGTTGTGTATGACGGAGCGCTGTCGTGAGGGGTTGCCCTGCCGCTGGTGCCAAAGACACGGATCAGTGGTCCATGCGGGGTGGTGGGGTGTCCCGCGAGTTGCAGAAACCGCTGGGTGCAACGGACTGGGCAGTAAGGCCCAGTTGTGGGAGCAACTGGGATCCATGAGCCCTTGCCGTCTTGATCCGTCTTGGAGTGCGGGATTAGGATCCACATGGACTCCTCGTCGAAGTGGATGTCGTTCCACTGGATAGAGACGAGGTCGGAGTAGCGGAGGAATGCCGCGAACATGAGGAGTGGGATCAGACCTTTCTGATATTCTGCCGGGCTGCTCGACTCAAGGAAGGGGTGTGCCATGGCGTGCACCTGGTGGAGCGACAAGGGTTCCTTCGTCCTGGTGGTGCACGGGCTGTGGCGTTTGGAGAATTCACGAACTTGTGAAGTGAAAGGCCCGCTAGTGGGAGAGGGTTCTCTGGTCATCCGATGTGCAAATGCGACGGCGGAGCACGTAAGGGATATGGCGGATACTGTGGCCTGATTGTTGAGGGCATAGACAAGGTAGAGCGCTAGAGTGGTGTCTGTGGCAGGCAGGTAGCTCAGCTTGACCTTCGTGCAAAAGGAGCGGAACTTGAGCCAATACGGCTCGTAGGTCCTTATGGTGGATGGCGCGCGGACATGACTGATTACCCGAAGTAGCTGTGTCTGTAGTTTTGATAATAAGCCTGAAATACAGAGAGCCCAGGCACGGTGGGGTTATATTTTATATGTCACATGCAACGCAATGATCGGGCTATTGGGAAAACCGAGACCAGCAAAGGTGAGTGAGTGTGTGCCGGGGGATAGGCATTGGCTGCCTTGAGTGAGGGGAATATGTGCCTTTACTTCTCGTGCCCAGGTTCATGGTGCTGGCTGCAGTAGGGGCCACCAAGAGGCTCCTGGCCACTCGGGAATGACCAACGTCAACTCGGCGTGGGTGCGTTGGGCGTGGCGCAGAGTAGCCGGGATGAGGTGGGGGGGGGGAAACGCGAAGCCGCGTTCATCATGCCAGCTGAACGAGAAGGCGTCAACTGCTGTGGCCTTGGGGTGAGGAATCTTGGAGCAGAAGCGCCCCAGTTGAGCGTTGTGAACATTCGCGAATAGGTCGACAGAGTGAGGCCCCAGGCGGCGGTCGAGGAGTCGGAACCATGGGGATTTGAGTGAGTAATCATCTCGGTCCTGGACTTTGGAGAGTTCGTCGGCGTGCGCGTTCAGCTCCCGGGGAATCCATTCGATGGCAAGGCGTGCCCGGTTTTTTAAGCAAAGGTCGATGATCGCCTGGCAAAGTAGTGTGAGTGCAGGGATGCTGGAGCCGCCTTTGCGCAGTATGAATACAACCCCCTGGTTGTCCACACGAACTAACACGTGCCGTTTGGAGATGTGGGTGTCAAAGGTTCTTAGTGCCCACAGTACACCTTCGAGTTCCCTTCGGGTGCTGGAAGTGTGTAGGAGGTCTTCTGGCATGCGGGAGCTTGCTTCTATTGGGATCCCAGGGAGCGGCGTGAGGATGGCGCCCCAACTGTGGGCGCTTGCATCCATGTGGATGACGGCGTCGAACTGGTGACTGAGATGAAATGGGGCGCCGTTAAATTTGTCGAATTGCGCCAGCCAGAAACATAGCTCGTCCACCGCTGCCGGGTGCAGGAGGACCTTGGAGTGCCAGGACGTTGCGTCAGCAATAAGTCGCAGGAGTTCGTGGCTGAATGCTCGTGCCGTCGCGCCCAGTGCTAGGGCCATAGAGGCGAGCATGCCTGTAACTCTTGCGAGGGATCGAACGGGAATATGCCTTCCTGATTGTCCTTGGGTTATCAAGGCCTCAAGTGTGGTTAAGAGTTGAGCCCTTCGCTCGAGTCCGACGACGAACGTGCCGCGGGTGGAGTCGATTTCCAATCCGAGGAAGCGAAGCTGACGCGAGGGGTGGAGGTGCGATTTTTTGCCGTTAATGACGAAGCCAGCTGCGTTAAGGTCCTGGAGGACTGTCGTACGAGTCGAGCACGCTTGCTGGTGGGAATCGCAGAGAAATAATAGGTCGTCGACATACGGGACCACTCGAATGCCGCTTGCCCGCCATCGCTTGGCAAGTTGTTTAATTAGTTGGGTGAAAACGAATGGAGCAGTTGCAAGGCCGAACGGCAGTGACCGAAAGGAGTAGTAGATGCCTTCGAACTGGAAGCCCAAAAACTGCCAACACGAAGGGTGAATCTCGACATGATGGTATCCAGATTTCAGGTCGATGGAAAACATCCAGTCATCTCGGCGGATGAGCTCGGCTACACGATTCAGACCCTCGTACTTGAACTTGGGGGCTTCAAGGTGGGTGTTCACTTTCCGCAGGTCAAGGATGAGGCGGCATTTGTCGCGTTGCTTCACGACGTTCAGTGGGCTGACACATGTTAGTGTGTCTCTCTTCTCGATCACTGCAGCAGCGCCGGTCACTACAAGATCGCGAATTGTGACGCGAGTAAAGTCGAGGTGCGTGCAGACTCCGGCATGGTTGTTGTCCTCGAAGGGTGTGGGGGCTGTATTCTTCCAGGGCAGCCAATACCCTTTTAGCGATGACGGAGAGGATAAAGCTACTGTCACACCAGGAGCACCACCAGTGCAAGGCATGCCGCAGTCGACTGCGCATGATGGTCACGTCCCTGTCTGTAGTTGCGAGCTCGTAGGGATCGCATTCCTCTCGTGGCCACCCACTTGGGATCTCTACATTATACGAGGTCATAAACATGGGTTCATAGATGGGAGTAAGATACTGTGCTCGTGAGCAGGTGCACGATGCGGGGCAAGTGTAGACTGGGCATGACATGCTCGGACCGCACGGCCACTGCCGTGTTAGGTGCTTGCAAGGTGCAAGGGGTACTCGTCTCTCTATCCGCCTTCTCTTTCTCTGTCACTCTCTCTCTCTCTCTCTCTCTCTCTCTCTCTCTCTCTCTCTCTCTCTCTCTCTCTCTCTCTCTCCTCCCTCTTTCTATCTCTCTCTCCCCCTCTCTCCCTCACTCTCTCCCTCTTTCTCTCTCTCTCTCTCTCTCTCTCTCTCTCTCTCTCTCTCTCTCTCTCTCTCTCTCTCCCTCGCTCTTGCTCTCTCTCACTTTCTTTGACTCCCTCTCTCTCTCTCTCTCTCTCTCTCTCTCTCTCTCTCTCTCTCTCTCTCTCTCTCTCTCTCTCTCTCTCTCCCTCCCTCTCTCTCTCTTTCTCTCTCTCGCTTGCTATTTCTCTCTCTCTCCATCTCTTGATCTCCCTCTTTCCTTTGCGTGCGAAGACATCACGTGCTGTGTTCGTACGTGAACATTTTTTAAGCGCGTTGGTGCTCGTTGGTGGTTGGCTTACATTTCTTCCTCCTCCTTCTTTTGCTCTCCTTGTTTGGGCCACTCTTTGTGTTAGCTTTGAGCTCCTAGACTCTGTCCTTGGCTCTTAAATAGTGCATCTCCGAGTGCGTGCGTGCGCACCATTTTGTTGGGTGCCGAGCGTGCCTCCATGGTTAGCTCTCGGGGCGTGTTGCGTGGTCGGCAAAGAAAAAAGTGAGGGGTCGGAGGCCATGCTCAAGGCTGACCAGCCATGTTGACTGGGTTTTGTAGCCCCCTCCCTGCCCCCAACCCCCTCAAGGGTTTTTTTTTTTTTTTTTTTTTTTTGAACAAAACGGATGGCCGTGACACGGTCGAGTCTTTAATTCAATCATAGGAATTATTACAAGCCTAGGCCTATCAGCCTTTGCTGTCCCCAAGGGCCACCCTAGTCAGCGAAGATTCCTTGCCTTTGGCAAAAGGCTGGCCACCGGCCATGCACCTACCGTGCAACCCACTATGCCTCTTGCATGTGGGAAAGGGCGCCGCCCTATCAACCGCTCACACCACCGGTGAGGGACCTTGCGCACCACGCCCTCCCATGTGGCATGCATTGGCCATGTGGCCTGGTTGGCCACAGCGAAAGCAGACTCCCTTGAAGCGCGGCTGCTGGCACGTAGCAGGGGGGGAGCCCTTGATGTCCGAGTCCGTGTCGCGACCACCGGGACGGCCGCCGCGCGTATAGCCGAGGCGTGCACGCTTGAGCGCTGCCACATCCGCGACCGCCAGCTTGTAGGAGCGGGATGTCAGGACACTTTTGGACTGATAGAGCTGGAACCGGTCGGCGGCCTCGAAACCGGCTTCGTCCGCAACGAGAAGGACTTGGAAACGCTTATTAATAAGTATTTCGATATCCTTTACGTTGTTGAGTGCGCCGACGACGTCGCCGTGCTGCAGCTTGAAGTCGATATGCTTCAGGTACGCTTCGATGGCAGCGAAGACCTCGGCCTGGTCGCATACGCCCTTGCGCATGAAGTTAGTAGCTGCGGGCGTGGGGCCAAGGGGGGGAAGGGGGGGGGCGGGTGCGAGGATGCGACGACGAGCAATGTTGGCGGGACCCTCACCATCGTCGTTTTCGGAGTCGTCGCTGTCATCGAGGTTGTCAGCGGGTGCGGGAGTTGGTGCCGGGGGCTGGTCGTCGGCGCGGGGAGCCTTGGGCGTGCGAGGATGGGTAGCCATTTCTTTCTTTTTGTTAAAATTGGTCGTAGGTGCAGCGTTATCGGATGAGGTTCCGACTGTAACAGCAGGAGCTTGCTGCTGTAACAGCGCCAAAAGCGCTTGCAGCTGGTGCGCAGTCAAGGCGGGGGCGGCGGCGGTTGGCGCGTGGTCGGCGGCAGGCGCGTGCTGGGTGGTGGGGCCCGCCTGGCCTGCAGGCGACGCGCCTCGGGCTGGCGCGTGGACTTCCGTTGCCTGCACGCGCGGCTGCTTTGCAGCCGCGCGAGTTTCTTCTGGAGCAGCGTGACTGCCGCCGAGCAGAATCTCGACTGCCGAGGGGCCCTCGCCAAAATTGTCCTCAGCAGGACGTTTCTGACGTCGGTCGGTTCCCTCGGGCGAAGTTCCGAGCGCCTGGGCGTTAGCGGGGGTAGAAATGTTATTCACCGCGCGAGCCGGAGCATAATTGGCGGAAGTCATCGCGGTAATATTGTGCTGCAGAATGTCGGTGAGGAGCGTTGTCAGAGCTTTGAAGCGCGGAAGAGACTGGGTTTTCGCCAGCTTGGGCGAGAATAAGGAGACTAGAACTAGGACGAGAACTGGAAAACGAAACTGGAACTAGAAATGAAGAACGTGGGTGAGGTCGAATGGTCTCACGTCCCTCTTTTGTAGGCAAAAGAGGGTGAGTAGCGCTTCGACGCTGACCTTGCTGCGTTGGCCCTCGCTACACTTTCACAATACACATTTTTTAGAAAGTGTTACACGCTTTCAAAAAATTACATTTCTAACAAACTTACCCTCCAAAGAACTTTGCATAACGCAACTGTTCAAGTAAAAGAATGTCCAGAACAAGGCATACAAGGGAATACAACCTATGGGTTGTACTCCCCAAGGCACAACCCTATACAGTCTACAGAAACATACAATATATGTTTGACACATCCCCTAGACTGGATAGGGGCAGTGCCCGATGAGAGAGTAACAGCTCAGGGTGGCACTACTAGTCCAGCCTCTGAGGCAGGGGTCTAAAGACCAGTCAAACAAGTACAGATAAGGCAAGAGCAAGACCAGGGTGGCACTACTAGTCCAGCCACATGAAAGAGGCCACAAGGCCAGTCAGGGTAATATATATAAAGGTCTGTACACAATCAAAGTCCTAGCAAGTGAGAGGCTACAGATATCAGCTGTATTGGCACCTGAGGCCAACTGTACTGCACGAGCCTGGCGACGCAGCTGGATGTGCTTCACTCTGCCCTCAAGTCGTGGCTCCTGACACAGGAGGATCATGGCCCTGTTGTCAGCGTACAGAACCGGGGCAGAGCTAGGCCGCTCACCCAAGTCGGTGAGCAAGAAGGTCAGCCAGCGGAGCTCCTGTGCCGTCATGGAACCTACGTAGATCTCACCCTCACAGCTAGACTAGGCAACAGACGAGGAACAGGTGGACCTCCACGAGATGGCACCTGCACCAAGGCTAAAGGCGTAGCCCTGTGAGGACCTGAGAGTTTCGGCGTCGTCTGCCCAGTAAGGGCCAATGGTCTCTGTCCTCCTAACACTAGCCGATGCCCGATGTACTTGCTAGATAGCGCAAAACCCTCTTAGCTGCCGACCAATGCTGTGGTCGGTGTCTGCCTGGGGCCACAAAGCGAGCCAGGATGCTGAGAGGGTATGAGAGATCTGGATGAGTGCAAGTCATCAGGTACATGAGGCAACCCACCAGCTCCGCGTAGGGACCACTAGGCTCTATAGCCTCCTCAGGGACTGGGGCAGAGAGTCTGTGGTCTACTGACAGAGGGGTGGCTGTGCTGAAGAGAACTGAAGGCCGAACCTCTGAAGGACCTGGCGCACCAAGTGTGACTGTGAGAGAGTGATGGTGCGCGCTGCTCTGTCCTTGGAGATCTGCAAACCAAGGTAGCGGCGCAGCTCTCCTAGGTCAGTGCAGGTGTGTCTCCTCAGCAGCTTGGCCTTCACGTCGGCCAGTGCGTTTCTGTCTGCAGTAGCAAAGACCAGATCATCTACGTAGACAAGGATGTAGAATAGAGTCTGGCCGGAACGGACAAAGAGCGAGGGGTTTGCACACGAAGGAAAGAACTGCACGTCGAGGGAGTGCAGCTCATAGTCACGATGCGCTGCTATGTGTAGCAGCGCCCGAAGAGTGGTCATCTTCGGGGTCGGGGCGAAGGTCTGAAAGAAGTCCACCCCCTCACGCTGACTGAAGCCTCGAGCAACGTAGAGCGCCTTGAAGACAGGCGGCTCTGTAGGAGGGCGCTTTACCTTGAAGAGCCACCGGCCATCGACTACGTTCACCCCAGGTGGGGGAACTGCGTCGACGAAGGTACCGGTGGATCTCCAAGATGCCATCTCCTGCTCCATGGTAGCTATTCACTGGGAGGCCCAGGGTCCCGAGGTGGCCTCAGCGTAGGTGCGAGGGGTCAGGATGTCAAGGGCGTCTGGGTTACCCTCAGGGACTAGTAGCATGGAATAGAGATGGGGAGCGGCCTCAGACAAAAAAGCGAGCTGGAACTGCATATCCTATAGGACGTCACTGCCAAGAGGAGCCACACCCCCGACAATCGGAGGGCAGGCAGGGTCAGAGACCAGAGCGGTGGCGTAGTCCAGGCGGTAGGTAGCGGCGAAGTCAGTGACAGCAGCGACAAGAGCGGACAGACTCGAGACAGGAACGGACGGGTCGGTAACGAGAGAGGCAAGGACACGAGGAACAAGTGGACGCACAGCACGGAGGTAGTCCGAGAACGGAGGCGAGGCCACAGCAAGCGATGACGGAGGAGGAGACGGGAGGAGAGGAGGAGCACGAGACGCGTGAGAGCGAAGGAACATAGGGTGGGAACGCAGAATATGGGATGTAGGACGAGCACGAGACGGACGACGAGACCAGACGTAAGACGGAGGAGTCGGGTCAGGAGAGAGGGGAGGAGACACAGGAGGAGAACGAGGAGGGAAACGAGCCGGACAGGAGTCCGGGGGAGGAAACACGGGGCCGTGGACCGGCAGAGGAGGAGGCGGTGGCAGCGGGGGAGGCAGCGACGGGCGGTCAGGGGAAGGGAGACTGAGGAGGCGAAGAGCGGACGCCGGCGGCGACAGCTGCCCGACTCCAACACCAGAACCTCTAGCGACAACACGGCTCCCTCCGAGAAGCCCCACGCCAGCACCCCCGGAGCCCGCTCCCCAGCACCCCCTGAACGCACGAACCCCAGCGGCGGTGATGACAACGGCTGCGGCTGCGGCGACAGCGGCGGGGACAGCAGCGGCGGCGACATGGGAGGCGAGACCGGGGCAGGGACAGGCGGGGAAGAGACTCCGCCGAGCCGCGAGAGTCAGCGGACTCCTCAGCAGGGACAACCGACGGGAGAGGGGTGACGTGAGACACACCAGACGGGGCAGGGCGAGGAGGGGGGTGGATAGGGTCGACCGGGGGAGTGGGGGGCACCAAGAATTGGGGGGGAGTGACCGGGGGACCACAGTGGGGAAAGCGGTGGTAGAAGGAGACGGACTCGTCAAAAGTGACGTCACGAGAATGAAAGAACCGGTGAGAAGGCGGGTGGTAGAATTGCCAGTCCGACGAGTCGAGGGGGAAACCTAGGAAGACACAGGGGACAGTGCGGGCAGTGAGCTTGTCCGTGCCAGAGGCATGAACGCGTGCATTGCGGTGCAGTGCCGTGCCGTGCGGTGCCGGGCGGTGCAGCGCGGTGCAGAGGGGCCGAGGACGGCGGCGAGGCGTCTAGAAGACGGGGCCGCGGGCGGCAAGGCGACGGGGCTGGCAAAGAGGTGGGGCCGGCTGGGCGACGAGGCCGGCTAGAAGGCGGGGCTGGGTGGGTGGGTGGGGGGGGGGGGGGGGGGGCGGCTAGGAGGGGGGGGGGGCGCGAGGTGACGGGGCCGCGGGGCTGCTAGGGGACGGGCCGCGGCGCGACGAGGCGGCTAGGACCTAGGGCGGAAGCGCTGGGGGGGG